GGGCGAGTAAACGCATCTGCTCTACTGAGCACGCGCCGCAGTTTCAACTTTATCCGAGCGGATAAACGGTCCGTGTGGCGCGCTGTTTCGTGCCGCTTTTGGCGCATTAACATTATATGGAACATTTATCGAACTCTTCATATCGTTTTATCGAGGAAAATTATATCGTTATCGAATTATCGCCCAGCCCTAAATCAAAGTTAGAGAAAATTCTGTCTTCATTTATTCACCCAGTTGTTCCAAGACTGTTTGAGGTTTTTTTTCTTCTTTCTTGCAGCTACAACTAAGCTTGAATGCAAGCAAAATGATTATAAATAAAGCCTAAATGACTTGTTGGCTTTACTGTAAGTCTTACGATATATTTGTATGATGGACAGACAGTTATTAACTAAACTTCATTAGTTAATGGAAGAAGTACCAATCATACTTTTGAGTTGGATATTTTCAATTAATCTTTTGAATTTGTTTCATCTGGTTCACAAACCGTGTCTGAATGATTTAATTCACAAATTGATGGATTTGGTTCTTGTGTTCAGCTGATTGATTCAGTCAGTTGATCACAGTGGTTAACAGCACTGGAGGGAAAGTTTATCAGTGCATAATGACTTAATAGTCTGTGTCTTACACAAAATCGATACTTTAGTGGATATGATACTTTATGGGGATTCTGCATCCTTTTATGAAGACTGAAATTGAAGCTTGTAATTAAATTGGTTGGTTTTGATTGCTTCTATTGTCATCATCAGATAAATGCGTCTGCTAAATAACTAAATGAAAATAACAGTGACAAGCAGTCCTTATAATTTCTGCTTTTGTGTTATAATTTTGGTATTATTTATTATACTATTATAGTTTTTTATTATTATTATTATTTACATATTTTCAGTTTTCTTTTTAATTTGAGTAATTTTGTCATTTTTATCAGTTTTTTATTCACTTCATTTCAGTTTTTATTTATTTTCAGCTGGTAATTTTTAGTGCTTCAGTTTAAACTTATTTCAGTTAGCTGCCAAGGCATTTCTAATTTTCGTTTAGTTTAAGTTTTTCCTTTATTGCTTCATTTCATTTAACAAAAATGTTTTTAATAGTTCTAGTTTTAGTTGTGATAATAACCTTGGTTTTGTCCAAGACCAGGGTATGTAAATGATGACAGAAGTTAAATTTTTCTGAACTGTTTCATTAAAGGGGTCATATGATGCGATTTCAAGTTTTCCTTTCTCTTTGGAGTGTTACAAGCTGATTGTGCATAGATAAGATCCCTGAAGTTGCAAAGACTAAAGTCTCAAAACCAAAGAGATATTCTTTATCAAAGTTAAGACTCTGCCACGCCCCCCTTCTGAATCAGCTACTGTTTTGTTATTAGTTTAAGTATTTGCTATTGACTGTTCAAATGCGGAGTTTTGCGCATCTCGTGTGTGTGTGAGAGAGAGAGAGAGCGAGAGCATCACATCACAGTGGAGTCTGTCACATGACTCTGCTCCCTCATATTTTGTTACACCAAATACACAAAATAATGATCTTTAAAAAAGCATCATATGACCCCTTTAAGAGGTCTTGCACTTGCCCCCTCAGATCTAGACTGTAGAGCAGTCTCCAGAAGGGTCAGATTTAATCTGATTAATTGATTTAAAGATAAACCCCCATAAATCCCACCCGGCAGAGAGTTGTACCACCTGAGGAGCTGTCGGGAGATGTGGTCACTGGCAAACCCTCTCTCTGACCTCACGCAATTCCTCCTGGGACTGTTTGTGGAGGTGTTCATGTCTCATTCACTTTCAGGTTGAACAAACAAGACTGTGGGTTTTGAGTTGGTTTGAAGTGTTAAACTGCCATTGAATTTCTTTCGCTTCTTCTTGTTTATGAGTTTCTTGATATCTCTCTAAAAACCTTATGAGCAGTTTGACAATGTTTGGTGCTGATTTAATGCTGATATGTATGATATTGACAATAGAATTTAATTATAGCAAATACGATGTAAATATATCAGGGCTCAAAAATACGGATGCCCAGATAATTTGGGCAAAAACATTTAAGTTTTTTTTTTTTTTAAGTAATTTGGTTTTGTTTGAAGTATTGGACATTGTTTTTGCCGTTTCTGATTTTAAAATGGCACCATGGTTAACTAGCTGTTTGTTGGCTAGTTTAGATTGGGCTTTTTAAAAAATGTGCGAAGAGTTGTAATAGTCTTGGAAGCATTACACAAATAGGCCTAAGTAATGTTTTGCACTGCATGCCATCCAACAAAAGTGTGTATGATGGGAGAGATAATGCTGATGTTAATTGATCAAAATAATCTCAAAACGACCAGACATTGGCTTTTTTTTTGCTTCATTACACCTTTAAAATGGCATCGTTAGAGGTGTGTAGTTCACTTATTGTTTGTTTCTGGTGTTGTTCCCAGTAAGTGATGATTCTTCTGTGGAGCACAAAAGGCAGAACGACAACTTTGGTCAACCGTCATTGTCATTGTATGGAAAAAATATGCAATAAAAGGAAATGTGACTGTCATTAACTTGCTGGCTAACATCTCCTGTAGTGTTCCATAGAAGAAACTAAGTCAAACAGGTTTGGAACAACATGACAGAATCTTAATTTTTTGGGTTAACTATACCTTTATCGTCATATCTCAGTCTTCAACATATGGTATTTGAACTTAAATTAAATTTTTAGGTTGAGACTTTAAGAAAAGCATTACAGTTTGTAAGGGATTAAATCCACCACTTTGTGGTTGTTAAATGTTAAAGGAATTGTTCACCCAAAATAGTTCACTCCCCCTCTGGCTATTCAAAATGTAGATGAGTGTATTTCTTCATCTGAACAGATTGCATCATACTCACCAGTGGATCCTCTGCAGTGAAGAATGAGTGCCGTTTGAATGAGAGACCAAACAGCTGATACAAACATCACAATAATCCACAAATAATCCACACGACTCCAGTCCATCAGTTAACTTCTTATGAAGTGTAAAGCTGCATGTTTGTAAGAAACAAATCCACCATTAGGACATTTTTAACTTTAAACCATTGCTTCTGAACAAAACGCTGTCCATAACTGTCCAAAATCCATAATATTCCTCCAGTGAAAAAGTCTCTGTTCTCTGTTGTCCTCTCACATCAAAATCCACAAACAAATTAGTTTAGAACTATTTTGAAATAAAACATTGCATGATCTGTGCATATTTGTCCTCTGATTCAGACAAGACTACTTTTTCACTGGAGAAAGCAACATTATAGATAGAGGACTTGTAGTTCCCTTTCATGGGAACTTCGAACTGCGTCCTCTAGGGGTCGCTATGGGGAACGCCTCGTCGTGACTCGTATCTGAAGCATACATTGAAAAAACACCAACTCGTTGGCCGGCGACAGCCATGACGTCACTACCGGTGCGACTACAGTATAAATCGGTGCCGGGAGCTACACATCATTCACTTCTTCGTCTGAAGCTTGCGTCCGCAGCATGGCAAGAAACCTAGAGGACGCAGTGTCTCGTTCCCTACTCAGGGAACCATGGTTACATAAGTAACCCGAGACGTTTTGCCTGAAGGCAATGATTTAAAGTTAAAAACTTTGTTTATTACAAACAGTGTTGGGGAGTAACTAGTTGTATGTAACGAAAGTACGTAATTTAATTACAAAATAAATGAAATTGTAATCAGTTACAGTAAATGTGTAATTAAATTACAGTTAAATGTGCAAAGGGGGTTACATCTGAATTTTCCACACACACACACACACAGATTTAATTGATTTCTTTCCCAAATTGCATTGACTGCTCTAAATTATGAGATGCCAATGTTTCAGGAATTTAGTACACAGAATAGGACACATGATTATGTAATAATGGTTTAATTTGGGTTTATGTATATATAATTTAATTTCCAAAACAGTATCATTATCAGCTATTAAACTATTTCTTGTTATGATTTTAAGTCTGTAATTAACCTCAGATTGATCTCAAAGTAAGTCTGATTTTGTGGAGGCTATGCTTTAAAGGGGACATCGGATTCCCCTTTTCCACAAGTTGGTATGATTCTTCAGGGTCTTAATGAAATATCTGCAACATAACCCCGCCCCTCTCTTCCGTGGAAGAACAAAGGTGATTTGCAAATAATCATAAAAAATGTAAAGTGTGAGATTAAATTCTCCTGCAGGTGCAGCTGGATCATGAACAGTGGGTACTCCATCCTTGAGTTTGAACTTTTTAGCAAAACCTGCTTTGAATTGTCCCTCATTCAGAAAGAACATAGACATATAGACATAAACGAATTTAGGTGTATTCGGTGGCGCGTTACCATCAAAAACAGAACTAATCCACAGTGTCTTCAGTGGCTCTGATGTCGGGATGTTCTACAACTACAAAACACCTGCATTGCTTACGAGACATTGTTTTCAATACAGCTGCTCGAGCACAGAGAAGATGACAGACAGCATACAACTGCTGAGGGCGGAGATATGCAAATTCGGAACAGTCCGTCAGCAGTCGTGGGGGGGGGGGGATTAAAAAAAAGAAGTGAATTGATATTTATCATTGTAGGGTGGTTATGGTCACACACTGCTAAGACACATTTATATGCATGTAAAAGTGAATTTTGCATCCAATGTTCCCTTTAAAATGAAAGTATTATAATCTTAATTCAAGTGATAAAGGATTTTGAAAGTCTGACAGTAATCAGTGTTGAGTGCTATTGTAAGGTTAACCCTGCCTGGTTTACATGTTTGAAAATAATTAACAGTTGAAAACAGTAGAAATTTAGAAAAGTAATCAAATGTAATCAGTTACATTACTTCAATAAAGTAATCGAAAAGTTACACTACTTATTACATTTTACATAGAGTAACTTGTGATCTGTAACCTATTACATTTCCAAAGTAACCTTCCCAACACTGATTACAAACATGCAGCTTTTAGCTTCACAAGTCGTATGGATTGATTGTGGATTACTGTGATGTTTTTATCAGCTGTTTGGACTCTCATTCTGATGGCACCCATTCACTGCAGAGGATCCATTGGTGAACAAATGATGCAATGCTAAAATATGCCAGATATGTTACCATATTGGATAGCCTGAGGGTGAGGGTATTTTGCTAGGACACCTGTGTGAAAATCATTTTTGGTTAAAAGTAATGGCAAAAATTGCATTTACAGTCATACATTTTAAGTGTGACTTAAGTCTCCAAGTACATTCACTGTACAGCATTATAGAATGGGTGCAAAATGACAAATTATAGGGTTAGTTTTGTATCAACAGGACAATGCTGAGGCATTTCAGTTCAGTAAAAACATACAGCAGGTGGAATTTGCCCAAAAATGTGGAGAACGCATCTGCTGCCTGTGATGTTTTCACAGGTGAGCTTATCTACATTATAGGAAAAGTGAAGTTCCACAAACACGATAAGATCACCCAATAAAATGTACCACAGGATCTACAAGACTTATTGTTTAGCATTAATTTAATTATTACATAATTGGATGTTTATATAATCTGACTCAACTGGGCAGATTGTGCAATGTAATGAGCTTTTATTGCATGATTGCATATTCAACCACAGACGTCATCAACATTTCTGGACAGTCTAGACATTTTTTGCCTCGTTTTGAAATATGAGAAAAGATATTAAAAAAGATATTAGCAGATATTTCGACATAGAACTAATCATTCTTCATTCTTCAATTATTACTGTATATTGTTAGTTAGCTAAGGCAAGCAACACTATTACAATGGATCACACTTAAGGTCATTTCATAAATTGTCCCACCCATTTGTATTTTTGACATGGATGATATCTCATATCATAAAGTTTGTTGAGGAGAGGTGTGCTATTACTTTTCAAGCATATGATTTCCACCTGGCAGACGATAAAATGGGCATAAAATCCTATAGACTTACACTGAAGGAGAGTCTTGTTTTATTTTTTTGTTCTTTTACAGATATTCAAAATGAAGAAGCCAATACCTGTAGACAAAGCATCTTGAAGAGAAAGAGGCCAGTGTGAGTGTGTGACTGTATCTGTGTGTACACATGCGTGTATGTGGATGAGATTTCATAGGCCATGTCTGTCCCCACCAAAGTAGAGAGGACAGTATGTGTCCTCCTTCCCACCAAGGAGACATTGGACATCACAGTGGGGGTAAATATTCAGCTCTTGTAATATTTCATATTGTGATTTGCAGCAATGACAAATGACAAAAAGTAATAACCTACGGAAGGCTGTACTTTATTTTGTAATATACAGTATATAAAATGTGCAGATGTGTGTTTGTTTATTGAGTTGAATGCAAGCATTTAGAATCAGAATGCATTTTAAAATCATGTTTTTGTACCTGATTCATTGTCAAATCTGTTTTTCTTTTCCTCCAAGCTAAAAGCAACGGGTCAAGATGTGTTTCATAGTGTCTGTGAGCTTCTCGGGGTTAAAGAGCTGCACTACTTTGGATTGACTTTAGTCAAAAGTAAGAATCGATTCTTCCCAATTGCAGTGTACCCTTTTAAAGGTCGCAACAGGGGGATTTGCAGTAGTGGTTAAATGGATCGTAGTTGATCCATGATCCGTACAGACCAAGCCCCACGGTTCGGCACGCATGTGATCCGCGGATTAATTGCAAAATGTAACCATGATAGAGTATAAGTTTATCATTTGTTCGTATTTACACAAGCAAGCGAATTTTAAACAATTCCAAAGAGAAAAGGCGAAAGGGTTTCAGACGGCGCACGAACACCGAACTGAATCCTCTTCTGAATCCTCTGAACAGACACATACACTCTTAAAAATAAAGGTGCTTCACGATGCCATAGAAGAACCTTTTTGTTTAAATGGTTCCATAAAGAACCTTTAACATCTGAAGAACCTTTCTGTTTCACAAAAGGTTCTTTGTGGTGAAAAAAGGTTCTTCAGATTACAAAAAGGTAAGAAAGAGATGGTTCTTTAAAGAACCTTTGACTGAATGGCTCTTTGTGGAACCAAAAATGGCTCTTCTATGGCATCGCTGTGAAGAACCTTTTGAAGCACCTTTATTTTTAAGAGTGTACACATACAATTATGACAAAATACCTATCTCGACAATCATTCAGGTAAACAAAGTCAGTTATGTGAATGAAAATCGGATGTGATGTGTATCATTATATCGCATCCGTACATCAGGTCTTAAAGGGACAGCGGCCTATAAATACTGCTGCTGTCATTAATGATCATCAAACAACAAAACAGCTTTGATAAAAATCTATATTTAATTTATACAGTGAACACTATGCAGTGTTATTTTCCCTAATTATTACATTTCTGTATTTGAATACTACCAACCTTATTTTATTTGTAACATACTGTTTTGTGTTTATCCATGATTATAATTTGTGTATTTGTTCTTATTTTTACTGGCTGTTCTCTTTCTTAGGTAATCTAGTAGTATTTGCTGTGGTATCAAAAGAAATACTTCGCATTAAGTAATAAATGGAAAGCAAGATCAATTGAAATATTTTTCTTTTCTTGCTGATCCGAAAAATGATCCGATCCGTGGGTCAAAAACCGTAATGTGATCCGAACCGTGAGATTTGGGATCCGTTGAACCACTAATTTGCAGTGATGTCATAGCAGAATCACTTTTAGTTCACCAGATAATCTTTCAGTGAACAGTTCTTAAAAGAACCATTGTTTTCTTAGTGTAAAGAACAATATAATAATCTATAGAACTTTTTCCACTATAAAAACCTTTTGTGCAATGGAAAGGTGCGAAAGAGCCTTTATATTTTATAAGTGTATGTGAATCTCAAAGGAAGTGTGCTTTTGTTATCTACTGTAAATGGAAATTGTAACCACATTTGAGTTGCTTTATTTGTCATTCACTGAAGACTTTCAAATGCAAATGCTTACAGCTCAAGGCCTTCAGGTTGTTTGCCAATTCAAGCAATGTATGAACTGTACCTGAATGACATAATCTGCAAAGACACAAACTTGCTTTTGTTCCCAGGAAAATATGAATTAAATCCATTTCAAACTAATGTGGCATCTAATATTTGTCTTTTGCCATTCCAATCAGGCTCTCTCTATATTATTCTCTTTTTGCTCTCATTTTCAACCTCTCATTCAAAAGCCTCATTCCAGCTTCTTCTTCCCTTGAACACCTTTTTACGATGAATCTCAAAGGAAGTGTGCTTTTGTTATCTACTGTAAATGGAAATTGTAACCACATTTGAGATGCTTTATTTGTCATTCACTGAAGACTTTCAAATGCAAATGCTTACAGCTCAAGGCCTTCAGGTTGTTTGCCAATTCAAGCAATGTATGAACTGTACCTGAATGACATAATCTGCAAAGACACAAACTTGCTTTTGTTCCCAGGGAAATATGAATTAAATCCATTTCTAACTAATGTGGCATCTAATATTTGTCTTTTGCCATTCCAATCAGGCTCTCTCTATATTATTCTCTTTTTGCTCTCATTTTCAACCTCTCATTCAAAAGCCTCATTCCAGCTTCTTCTTCCCTTGAACACCTTTTTACGATTTTTTTGTCACTCTCCTCTTGGATAAGAGCGTCTTTGTTTTTGTGTATTTGAGGACTGGTGACCCCTGAGGCTCGGAATCAAGCTATATTAACTTTGTTAAGCCTGGAATTCACCATGATTCACCACTTCACTGCAGAGAGGAAGCAGGAGAGAGCAATTGATATTGGCTGAGCGTTTAGCAGGGTCACAACCTTCTCGTCATGAACCTCGGATAAAAAGACAGTGAGTCAGAAAGAGTCATTTAGTGAGGGAGGTAGTGATGCGAAGTTAGCAGTGATAAAGCATGGATAAACTGAACGGAATGTGAACTTGCACTTGTAAAAACATAACAAAGTGTTAACAAGTTCACATAAATGTTTCTGTGTTTGTATAGATACTGAAACATACAATATAAACATTCTGACAGCATCTAAAACTTAATATGAATTACTCTGAATTTTCATAATCACTCATAATTTATTACTGTATTTATAAATACTGTATATAATAATATTTTTGCTTAAACTGTGATACACTACCATTCAGAAGTTGAGAGGAAATATGAAAAAACTTTTATCCAGCCTTACATTAAATTGATCAAAAGTAATCCAAATAATGTAAAAAAAAATCTATTTCAAATAAATTCTGTTCTTTTGAACTTTCTATTCATTAAATGAATCCTGAAAATAAAATTGTTTAATAAAAAAAATTCTAAACACGAAAAGTAATGTTTCTTGAGCCGCAAATCAGCATATTAGGATGATTTCTGAAGGATCATGTGAAACTGTAAATTGGAGTAATGATGCTGAAAACTCAGCTTTGCCATCACTGAAATAAATTACATTATAAAATATATTCAAATACAATACACTTATTTCAAACGGCAATGATATTTCACAATATTATGGGTTTACTATATTTTTAATCAAATAAATGCAGCCTTTGTGAGCATAAGAGACTTCTTTTAAAAACATAAAAAATTCCATATTTTGTAATCAGGCTCTCAAAAAGTATATAACAATTTGGATATAGATTTATCAGCCAACATATCGGTTATCGGCTTTCAAAAATAAAGAATAATCGGTTATCGGTATCGGCCAAAATTTTCATATCGGTGCATCCCTATATAATAGAGTATAAATATGAATGTCTTATGTTTGCAAAAAATTTAATTACTTAATTTGATTATTTTACAAAAATATATGAAGAAATAATAATCCTAACCCTAATAATAATGTTCTTTGTATAAATTATAAAAATGTTTTTAAATAATGGTAATTGAAATTTAGTGTAAAGTGTAATGATTTGCGTTTTTGTTGCTGACAGTACATTGCTCTTGTACATGTAGTGTCTATTCAAACATATGATAATCTATGTGTGTATCACTACTTTGCATACAAATACTAAAGAGGTCACGTTGGCAAATGAAATAAATCACATGGACCACTTGAATGAAAAGAATGTGCTTGAAACCTTGTTTCTAAACACTTTGGGAAATAACATCTATTTATTGGTCTTAGCTAAATCTTCTTTTATCTTTCCATTGTGACATTTATTTAAACCATCTTAATTCCATTCTTGCACAAGCTCCTTTTTAGAAGTGTTTACACGATTTACTCAAAGCGCTAGAATTCTTTTGCAATCGCAATCGCTCTGGCATGAGGCTGCTAGTTTTTACTGGGGTAAGTTTTGTCTGCGGTTGGGGTTGTTGCATACCCTGCGTTCACCAATGACTCAACGGGTCTTTTCATTCCAGCCGTCTCCCTAATTGAGGTCATTGTTGGGCAGATTTCATGCATGAATTCTTGATGCCATTGTTTGCATGCCGAAAGCATTTACGCTTGTTTCCTGTGTGTCCTTTCTGGGCTGTTTTAGACAATGAGCACATCTTTCTGGACCTGGAAGAGAAACTTGCTACGTACTTTCCTAAGGAGTGGAAACAGGACTCAGGAAAGGTGAGCATAACACGGTCCTCCATCATTATCAGTAGTACCATGGTGTTCTTTTACATGTCTGTAAAATACATGGTTCATCAATGTGATAATCATATAAATATAAATTGTGTTGTGATTGTACTGGTTCCATTACAGTATGACTGTACCATGTGCTCCGTGTTCCTTGTGGTCATCGGCGCGGTTACTGAATGATAGTAAAGATAAACACTAGTAGGCCGGTCGGGATGTGGGAGTGACTTCATAATGAGGGGGTTGCCACAGTAACCTAGTCAAGCCTGTTCTTTCTCTCGGCAGGGGTCACAGAGGAGGTCAATCCCTCCCCTGCTCTGTCTGAAGGTCCAGTACTATGTGGAGAATGGCAGACTCATCTGGTAAGAAACAGGCCAGATATTCCCGAACGTTTGAAGGGAGGAATCCTCTCCTTGGCCTCTTTCCTTCATTAGTTTTAATCCACCAGGGTGTGAGGCCAGTTTGAGTGGGCTTGTGATCTGGTTTTAATGTGGCCTGTGTTTGAAAGCTGTTTTTATTAGGAAGAATTTTCCTCCCTCATCTGGGTGTGGTGTAACTGAAAACTGCTTATTATGAAACTCAGCCTAACTTTAGATTTTATTGAATGTGGCAAATGAGTGGAGGATTTTGAAAATAGCCCGAGGAGTGTCTTTCATTAAATTTATTTTAAAATTAAAAATTAATTTTTAAAATTTAGTTTTGCTGGATTAATATAGTTAAATTAGAAAATGATGGCAGAATTAATTTTGTTCTATTTTAAAATTTAAATTTAGACTTGATGTGAATTCTTAGAAACATTTCATTTCAAACATTTAATTTGTCAGTTTAGAGGCCGTTTTAATGCTTTTGAAAGAAGTCTCACACTCACCAAGGCTGCATTTATTTAACAATAATAATGTTAAATATTATTACAATTTAAAATAACACTTTCTATTTTAATACATTTTTAAATGTAATTTATTTCTGTGATGGGGAAGCTGAATTTTCAGCATCATTACTCCAGTCTTCAGTGTCAAGTGATCCTTCAGAAATTATTCTAATATGCTGATTTGCTGCTCAAGAAACATTTCTTAACATTACTATCAATGTTGAAAATAGTTGTGCTGCTTAGTACTTTTGTGGAAACAGTGATACATTTTTAAAGGATTCTTTAAAGTGTTAGTTCACCCAAAAATGAAAATTCTGTCATTAATTACTCACCCTCATGCCGTTCCAAACCCGTAAGACCTTTGTTCATCTTTGGAACACAAATTAAGATATTTTTTATGAAATCTGAGAGCTTTCTGACCCTCCATGGACTATTTTACTAATGTCCTTACTACGTTTCTGGGTCTGGGAACATTTCAGTTGCACTGCTCTCTATGGAAGGTCAGAAAGCTCTCGGATTTTATCAAAAATATCTTAATTTGTGTTCTGAAGATGAACAAAGGTCTTACGGGTTTGGAACGGCATGCGGGTGAGTAATTAATGACCAAAATTTTCATTTGAGTGAACTAAATAATAATAGAAAGTTCAAAAGAACAGGATTTATTGGAAATAGAATTATAAATAGAAAATAATTCTTGCTAAAACATTTATATTTGATGTCTAGTTTATTTTTCTTATCTTACTCTTTTTCTGTGTTCTCAGTGAGCGTAAAGCGAGAAAACTGTACTACTATGATCTGCGGGAACGTGTCCTGCGCTCAGAATGCCGACAGCAGGAGGAAGTGTATTTCCAGCTTGCAGGATACGCCCTACAGGCCGATCACTCTGACCACCCCTCAGACAGCCACAGTCAGGGACACACTGTGTATTTCCAACCCAAAGAATACTTTCCACCCTGGGTAAATCTTCATTAGAGTGTATAAAATACAATCACATACATTTGCATCCAAGCAAGAGGTGCTTACTTTGTTTTTAATCATATAAAGATTTGGTTTAAAAGTTGGTTTACTTGGTTGAAAAGTCCAGCATTTGTGGTATTTGGACGCTGGTGTGCTATCGTGTTTAGTCCAGGGTTTTTAACTAACAAGACTTTCATGGACAACCAGCTTCACCAGAAAGACCATGCTGACTGACTAGCATTTTTTGAAAAACACCAAACCAGCAAATTCTTCTTGTGCTTTTACAGCAGGGGTTTGATTAAAGTTTTTGTAAGTCTAATAAAGCACGGTGAGAGCTCACACTCATTTGATAATCACGCATGACCCGTGTCTGCTCTCTTATAGATAATTGCGAAGCGTGGCATTGACTACCTGCTGTGTCACGGACCCAAGGTTCATAAAGAGCTGTGGGGGATGTCCTCGCGTGACGCTATCCTGCTCTTTATCAGAGAATCCTGCCGTCTGGAGGATGTCCCAGTCACCTTTTATCGCCTACAGAAGGTCAGAGGTCATGCACGGTTATCAGAATGTCTTGCTGTAGGTCAAGACATTCTCAGCTGTGGAATGTGAAAATATTTTCATCAAAGTAGAAGTTAAAGGTGAAGTCATTTCTGCACTACTAGGGGCACCTGATGGAACTGCAGTGTGCTTGATTGAGTAATATTACAACAGCAGCTCAACCAATGCTAGAATGATCTCTGAAGGATCATGTGGCAGAAAATTAAAAGAAATTGTAGTAATATTTAAATTTTTTTGAGTATTTGACCAAATAAATGCAACCTTGGGGAGCATAAGAGCATAATATCTATCTATCTATCTTTCTTTCTTTCATTAAAAAGTGTGTAACTAAGCCTGTGTCTTTTTCCTGTAGGACAAGAAAGAAGAGAAAGGTTCAGCGCTCCTTGGACTCACTCTACGAGGAATGCAAGTGTATCAGGTGTGTGTTTGTGAATGCATGAGGCGTTTTTCTTGCCACTAAAAACAGGGAAAAACACTTCTTGTATATAAATTGCAGCATTGCAAAAATTGGACACAGCAACATCGCAACAGTAGTTGTTGCACATTACCTGAAATCACCAGCCCTCATTGAAAATTATGGACTTCTGGTTGCTTTTCGCTGCAAAGCACATGTGAATGGCCTACTTCATTGTGCATCATTCTGTGATTCAGTGCAGTCCTGTGTTTTCTCTTTGAGCCGGTGCCAATCACAATGATAGAGCTCTCCAGATAGGCCTGACTGGAATGCATATATTAGACGGTTCAGTCCATAAACAGGGATTTGGAGTGCATGCCTTTCCCTTGAGTCCTCTGATCTGCCCGTTAAAGCATCTGGGGTTGGATTAAACTAAGGGCCCTGTGTCTAAGAGATCAAAGACCCAGTGTGGTGAGGCACGGACCCCAACCTTAAATGGGCTCCCCTTCTGCTTTGATAAAGAACAGGATTTATATATTACTCCTTTCTCACACTGCCAAATAAGCTTATATTACAAATAATCTAACAAATGATCTGTGGAAGGGGGTTTTGTAGCAAGTAGGGTTAAGAGATCTAAATGTTAGTTCCATTTTCAAGAAACTGCTTCAACCGAATAATGAACTGTGTGTTATTTGTAATAAAATAAATTATAAAATTCTATAAAAATGTTATGTATACATTTTTTTCTTATAAATAGTAATATTTGTTATCTAATACAAATATGTGACCCTGGACCAGTGGAGTGCATGCCTTTCCCTTGAGTCCTCTGATCTGCCCGTTAAAGCATCTGGGGTTGGATTAAACTAAGGGCCCTGTGTCTAAGAGATCAAAGACCCAGTGTGGTGAGGCACGGACCCCAACCTTAAATGGGCTCCCCTTCTGCTTTGATAAAGAACAGGATTTATATATTACTCCTTTCTCACACTGCCAAATAAGCTTATATTACAAATAATCTAACAAATGATCTGTGGAAGGGGGTTTTGTAGCAAGTAGGGTTAAGAGATCTAAATGTTAGTTCCATTTTCAAGAAACTACTTCAACTGAATAATGAACTGTGTGTTATTTGTAATAAAATAAATTATAAAATTCTATAAAAATGTTATGTATACATTTTTTTCTTATAAATGGTAATATTTGTTATCTAATACAAATATGTGACCCTGGACCAGAACCAGTCATAAGGGTCAATTTTTTTGAAATTGAGATTTATACATCATCTGAAAGTTGACTAATTAATTGTTAGGATAGGACAGTATTTGGCTGATGTACAACTATTTGAAAATCTGAGGGTGCAAAAAAATTTAAATATTGAGAAAATCACCTTTAAATCTGTCCAAAGAAGTTCTTAGCAATGCATATTACTAATCAAAAATTATGTTTTGATATATTTATGGTAGGAAATCTACAAAGTATCTTCATCGAACATGATCTTTACTTAATATCCTAGTGATTTTTGGCATAAAATAAAAATGTATAATTTTGACCTATACAGTGTATTGTTGGCTATTACTACAAATATACCCGTGCTACTTCTGACTGGTTTTGTGGTCCAGGGTCACATATTATTGTAATATTAATATAAAAATTATTATAAAAAAAATCTAAATGTTCTATTAAAAAAAAAGTATAATTTAAATTATTTATATATATATTTATATTTATATATATATATTTATGAAGTATGATTAGGACCAATTATTTGGCTTTCTTAAAAGTAATAAAAGAATCAGTAATAGAATCATAAAGGAACCTGAACCATTTAGTGGAATCGGAATCTGAGCCATTGAATTTTCTAACAAATCCCATTCGTCTGACTTGACACTTTTCATGTGACAGAGGCCTTGTTTCTTTTATTTGCAGGAGGTGAACAATGTGCGGGATCTGCTGTATGACTTCCCCTGGTTTCATGTGGGACGACTCACTTTTCTGGTAACATTTAATGTTACTGCTTGTTACAATATTAGATCACACCAGACCTCACTGTTTCTCCCTCATTTCAAGTGATTTTTGGTCTTTGATGTGATTTGAATTGTGGTGCTTGAACACCTGCTCTAACATTAAAAGTCAATTTTCAAAAATACAGAGGTTCTGTCTTCTGCTCTCTGCACAGGGGAAGAAGTTTGAGATCCAGCCGGATGGTTTGCCCTCCGCGAGGAAGCTGGTGTACTACACGGGTTCGGCTTTTCGTTCCCGACATCTTCTGCTGCATTTAAGTTCCTGTCACCGATTGTACCTCAGTTTGCAACCTGCGCTCAAACACCTGCGGCAGCTGCAGGAGACAGAGGGTGTGTGTCCACATAATATTCATCTCCAGGCCCTTCATGCCTGCTTTTGTAGTACGATTTTGTTTTTTGTTTTCTTCTCAGTGGTGTTGGTTATATTATAGCCCATTCGTTTATTGACTTCAGAGACCTCACAAAAACAATTTTTTATGTAAGCAAGTACTTATAATAATGTATTTATTTTACTTTCCACTTCCACTTTCATTTCCAGATTTATTTTTTATTTATAGTAATGAGTACTGGAGGAAGAAATGTCAGTAATGTCACAATGGTCCTGGAAAATAGTTATGGAAAAAATAGGCTTAATTTTCTTTAACACTAAATGGAGGTGACAGTGTCAAGGAAATAGATTATAAAAGAATAAACTGTTTTTTTAATATTCTTTTTCTTTGACACAGTCACCTCTGGCTTCTTGATTGCAATATTTGAAATGGTTTGTATTGTGAAAAGTGCTATACAAATATACCTGAATTGAATGGAAAAATAAGGTGACCAGATTTCTGAAATAGAAACTAGTACATTTCCCAGTTGAGTGGTCAAAATATCATTGAAATCTCACTTCTTGTTGCCTATAAAGCTAAAAATGGAGACAATACAGTTTTATGTTTTGGGCTCCTATAAGATTATAAAACTTAATTAATATTAAGTAATATTTAATTAATATAACTCTGCAAATCACACTATGTAAAACAGTAAATATTAACCCTGTCAAAGAGCAAACCGTTCAAAACAGTATTGTAACAAAATTCTGACTTTACAAAAACACATCACAAAAATAAAATAAATTGGATAAAATTGAAAAAAACATATATTTTCTAATTGGATTTCATATTTTCACAAACTGTGAATATACTGTATACAGATATTTCTATTTTTTAGACACCCTGTTTCCCCTGAAAACAGAGATGTCTGGTTACCAAATCGAAAAATATAATACATTTTTTCCTTTCCTTTTGGATGAAGTTAGACTTAAATATGTTAAAGCATTTGTGAGAATCACCCTTATTAGTAAAATAATTATTCTGCCATGTCAGGCTGTTTTTGATGAAATAATATATTTTTTCTCTCTTTTCGGATCCAGAGAAGAAGAGGTACCGTGAATCGTACATCAGTGATGAGCTAGACCTGGATCAACCGTGCAGCGAGGGCAGTCCTCGTCTGTCTCGACACTCCACCAGCAGCTCTGGCATTGAGGCGGACACCAGGCAAAACAGCGTCTCTGTAGAGATGGTTTCCATGGAGGAGAAGGAAAAGTCCTTCATCTCTGCTGTCAGTCACAGCTCCTCACACACCTCTGGCATCGACACGAGCAGCAAAGCTCGGACTGATGAAGATGAGTGGCAGGAGGAAGGTGAGGGTCAAACAACTTTAGTCATAATCAGTATTAAAAAAATATATAACACTATATTTATAATCAACATTTCTCTAAACTCATCTGCCAACTGTAGAGTCACATATCATTTGCTGGGCTTGAATACTTGTGCAGTTGTTATGCAACAGTATAAAATGTCACGCTCATCAATTTGACATGGTCTGCTGACAGATAAGCATTGCTAGGATTCTTTGCATATGTAGTGCTGAAAAGACATAGATGAAGCTGTTGGGGTTGTTCTGAAGTTATTTAGTTTATTTGCTCAGACAGCTTGACTTGCAAAATGTCACATTCGCACTGACAGTGAAAGACAAAATCTTTTGTCACAACACGTTAGATTTACGACAAGGTTAAGCACAGATTAACCCATGATGGACTGTTGGTGATGAAATCTGAATGCAGATTTGCAGGATGTGGTGAAGGAGCCTGGGGAGGTCTCTGTGGACGATCCTTTGGATATCTTACGATTGGCTGAGCTGCTGGAGGGCGTGTCCGTCGACTGTCCCACCATCCAATCAGACACTAAATTCAAAGGTGAGGACTCAAAAAAAACAATCCGATTTAGGGCACTTTCAAACCTTATCTATCTGTTTCTGATTCATTTGTATTTAATGCTTTAATTTATTTGTTTCATTGTTGCATAACATAAAAATAAAGTTACTAAATGTGTAAATCATGGAGAATTGTGAGCGATTTTTATGTATAAATTGTATATAAATATTTATTATGATCATGATGATTATCATATTTATGTTATATTATTATATTATATATTTTAATTATATGATTGATATATATTTTTTTTAGCAATTGTCATGCAATTAATGTTTATCTGTTATTAAACAAGTGCTCAGCAAGGCTGAATTTATCTAATCAAAAATACAGAAAAAACAGTAATGTTGTGAAATATTACAATTAAAAATAGCTGTTTTCTATTTTAATATATTTAAAATGTAATCTATTCCTGTGATTGCAAAGCTGAATTTTCAGCAGCCATTACTTCAGTCTTCAGTGTCACGTGATCCTACAGAAGTCATTCTAATATTCTGATTGCTAAAGAAATTAATGACAGTTTTAATTGAAACTAAGTGTGCTGCTTAATATTTTTGTGGAAACAGTTACATTTTATTAAATTTTTTAAAGATTTTTAAAATAGTTTTTTTTTTGGTAAAAATCTAAAAGTCTTAACTGCCACTTTTGATCACTTTAATGCATATTCGCTCAATAAAATTATAAATTTATTTCCTAAACTTTTAAATGGCATTGTAATAATGCAATGTAAACGGATGGGACCACAAATCAGCGTGTCACAATATTGTATTAGTGCATTAGGACTTAAAAGCATGAATGCTTTTTTCTTGACAATTTTGAAATACAGTAAATCAATATTTGCCTGCAGACTGTGATGAGAATAAAAATGTGCTCCTGTTTACTGTAACGTCTGTTTCTAGGTCTACAAATGAGTTCAGTTACAGTCAACGATCAAGTGGACCATTGTGATCCAGACAGAATGAAACAGGTTTGTCGTCTCTGTCTTCTCCAATCTTTATCTTTTCATTCCTTCATCATGTCACTAACTGCTCATTACCCATTACAGGTTTTAAATCAGAAGTCCCGTAACCCGGCCGACCGCTACAGTCTGAGTCTGGATGACGTGCGACTGTATTCCCCTCTTCTCCCTCTGGGAACGGCTTCGGTTCCAGATACCTCTGTCAGCTACACGTTTGGGCTTCCGCATTCCCCAACCAGCCTGTGTCCAGACAATACTTCATTTTGTGTCCAGCGCTCCACGAACTGCCTATCTCTGGACCTGCTGGATGATAACCAGCCGCTTGAGCTTGTCCTTTAACAGGGCAATGTGAACAATTGTGGGTTGTTTTACGGATTATACAACATGTAGAACTTTCTACAGAATGTGTTAATGAATAATCTTAGAAGAATCTGGCATTACTACGCTAAAACCGTGTCCTTGATAAAACCTTTTCTTCCAAGTCAATTCTAACTGGCTGTGACTACAATAAGCAATAAGCAAGAGGCCCCGCCCACAGTGAACTTTCATTGGTCCAAATCCTGTTCTGCGTGGCTGAACTGTATATTAAACATCAAAACGAAACATTTTCACATTCTTTGTGGGCAGACAAATTACCTGTTGGTTCACACCTAGTTAGGTCATGGTGTAACATGTTATGCTACAAATGTTGTTTAGGGAAGGAAACGTTAGACCTCTAAATTTCACATTTGCTCTAAAATGGCTTGAGAATGTCAAACTTGGAGGAACATTCTCTGAATTGCATTATGAATACAGACAGAAGCTACCAGAAAATCCACTAAGAAGACAAAAACATGTCTTGTACTCATGCAATAAAATGCCATACGTTCCTTTAAACAAAAACGTTTAACTTGGAGTTCCATTTAATGTTTGAGATCACACAGTTACATTACTAATGTCAATAGTGGTTAATCATATCAAATATGATACAAAAATTCACGTTCACTGTCTTTGGAGTCATTTTTGGTCATGAAACACACTGAATATGCACCACCTGTTCTCCTGTTTTAATTGTGTACAGACAGTACTCTTGTTCCCAACCCGCTTAAAACTGCAATCAGGATTGGAACAAGGTTAAAAGGTCAAACCAAAATATTCCACGTATGTTGTTTGATGAGATCTAACCACTGGTTTAATATACTCAATATAATATCACATAGTTCTTTACTACACAAGTAATGTTGAACTGTGATGAACTTTTAAAAGAACAATAAGATCAAAGACTGGTTCCCTGTATACAGATCATGTTTGTTTTGTTCAGGATACATGGAGCTCTTTTGATTTCGATAATTACAAAACACACATCAAGCCCTCAGAGGTTCTGTACATAATGGTGGGTGTAATTTCTTTATGTATTGTAAACACACATCCTATTAAAAGTATGCCCATATATGTGTTCCTTTCAGTGAAAGGAAAAACAATAAGAATGAATAGTATGAATAAACATAGCTGGTGTTAAATTCAGTAGTATGTGTATGTGTTTTTCATTACATAGAAATACAGTAAACTGATAAAAGCAATTAGCTTAAACGCAGGGTCAGTGATAAGATATGACTGATGTAGTGATAATATAGTCACATATAGTCCAAAAGTAAGAACAGCCGAAACGTCAAAAATAAAACAGTATGTTTACAACTTGATTGTTTAAACAGCATTTTATTCTAACTTGCAAAGCCTTTTCAGTCGAAATATGTAAATAACGCGTAAAATAAAATACACTGCTTAAAATTGTAGTTGTTTAGAATGTATAGTTTTACTAGTTTACAAACTAGTAATAATAAAAATAATAATAATACATTTAAATTGTAATCGTACAAAAATGTGTAGGGTAAGTACTGAATAATTCAATGTTGTATTTAAAAATAGTTATTTATATTTTAATATTATATTAAGCATTTATATTATTTTACAAACAAATATAAATTAACATATATATATATATATAGGTTTTATTTTTTTTGCTGAGATTCGATGTAGTGACAATTTTGCGTCATGATTGCATAATGACGTCATCACGCAATGACATCACAACGCCATTTAGCAACTTTTAGCAACAAATCAACCTTCCTTTAGCAACTTCCTCTGAAAATTAGTTGGCAACACTGGACACGCCGGTTCACACGTGTGTGTGGAGCAGGCAAAAGCATCGAACCGGGTTTTAGCTATTTTAAAGCTGTGGATGTTTTTAACTTAAAAGGGCTAGTAAGAAAATGTCTATTTTTTTGATACACACCCTTTTGTCCCACCATCCTGAACCCGAGGATTTGTTCAATAGTTTGTGCTGGTCAAGCACAACATGCCCCGACATAGAGAAGATCGAAGCTCTGAAAGCTTTCCAATAAATCACAACAGGAGGGCTTTATTTGTAAAGTGCAGTCAGTGATATGGAATCAATGCATGCCAATAATGCAAACGATCTCCAGTGCAGATGATGGAGGTAAAGATCTGCTCAGTGCTGTCTGTGGACTCTTTGCAGTGTGTGTCAGTACCTGTCAGACCCATGATGCACCTGAGAAGATAAGTCATGTTCTTCTGCCTGTGCTGATGACGAGAGATGATGGCAACCATGAATATCCAGCATCTCCAGGACCTTGTCCTGCACCCTTTGCTGTGCTAAAGATCTCTGACTCCATAATCTCAAAAATCATAGTCCGGATCTGGTTCACCATACTCAAGTCCTGCAATAAAGACACTGAACCAGAGATACATCAGATATGGGATGATTTACTGTCATGCTGGGGAAGTCGTGGCCTAATGGTTAGAGAGTCGTACTCGTAACCCAGAAAGTTGTGGGTTCGAGTCTCGTACCGGCAGGGATTGTAGGTGGGGGGGAGTGAATGTACAGCGCTCTCTCCCACCTTCAATACCACGACTGAGGTGCCCTTGAGCAAGGCGCCGCAGCATAAATGGCTGCCCACTGCTCCGGGTGTGTGTTCACTGCTGTGTGTGTGCACTTTGGATGGGTTAAATGCAGAGCACTAATTCCAAGTATGGGTCACCATACTTGGCCACATGTCACGTCACTTTCACTTTTCACTTTCATGGCATCAGACAGAATCAGTATAAGCTTGGGTTCTGTTGTGTCTCACTGCTCTCTCTACTCATCGGAAACCTCTCAGACCCGACCGGATCCTAGAAGATCTCAAAGTTTTCTTAAGGCAATTCAGGCTGGATTGACCCACAAGGACGGTGTGTGACCCGCAAATGGGCGCTTTACCTGCTCACCAGGTGTGTTGCCCTGGCGGAAATCAAGAAAGAAGATGTGTTCACCAGTGAGGAACCTGACACGGGTAAGACAATGTTCAGTATCTCCCACAGTGTGTAGGATGTGTGTGTGAACAGCGTAAGAAATCATAAACATCTCTTGGATCTCTGCAGATGAAATCCTATTCAGATAGACTCCCGAAAAAAAGCAGTTACTGAGGGAATTCTGGGAAGATTATGCTCTAGTATTAGAGACTCTAGAAGAAAACCAGGTAAGAATGTTTTGTTTCAGATTCACAAAACCCCACTGGCTATGTTCAGAATTGCAAACTACCATACTATGCACTGACAACTGATATTTATATGAATGAATGAAAAGTTGTCTGCTAAACTGTTATAAAGATCTCATTGATTTACAAAATTTTATTATTATAATAATATTATATAATACTTATTATTTGGCCAATATCAGCAGCTGCACCAAATTGTATATTTTCCTCAGTTTGGGCTTCTAAATATAATTGAGGTGTTTTTTTCCTCAAATATGAGCTCCATATTCTCCTATATCATACTATGTGAGCCATAAAAGCCATATATGATACTCAGATATGATATAAACATCCCTTTTTTTTGAGAGATTTTCTTGAATAGTTTGTCTAAAGGTTATATAAATTGTTCCATAAAAAAAATGACTTATTTCATATGTCAGGCTTTACAGGGATAAATTACTTTTTAACGTTATGAACGTTAAAAAAAACCATACTGATTGACCAACAATCTGAATATTTTCCTTATGGAAATAAATATTTGTGAACTGCATTTTGCGTTATTGTGTCTTATATTGTTTATCTATTTTTTTTTTAAGATACACGTGATTCGACCTGTTGAGACAACAGCGATTGACATCCAAGGTTTGTGGCAGCACATGGCATAATTTCAGTTTACTGATAACTGGTCTTGTATCTTTGCTTGATCTGGTTCTCCAACTCTCTCCATAATCAGGTGAGCTGTTTTCTTCATCCTGGCTGCTGTGTGTGTATCAGCGCATGTTTCACAGTGAAAACAAGGCAGTAATGAAGGAAGGAGTCAATCACCTGTTAGAACTGAAAGCACTGCATCGTCCTGTGTTTGCTTTGGCATTCTCACAGGTATCCATCCATGTTATGCTTTATAAGATACTGGATCTAAAAATTCTGTTTATCCCAGAAATATGTCACATTATGAAAGTAAAATAGTTTGCAAATACACTTATTGATAATGAATGTTCTTCTGGTTGTCAGTTTGTAATCGGTCCTCTCATGGATGTTCTTGCAGAGAGCTCTCTCTATCACAGGTAATTATTGTCAGGAGTTCATTTTCATTCTAGGTAAGGTTTTATTACATATTACATAATACAGTTTGTTTGGTGTCAATCTTAAAATGTTTGTTTCCCAGAGCGCCACAGCAGAACATCAGAGATTGTCCAGAGCTTGGAATAAAACTCCAAATGTTTATGGGGAATTTCTTCAACAGTTTGCCATGAAGAGAACAGAGGTAAAAAGAACCAGTTTATGTTTGTGGACATGTTTTGGTCTCTGGGTTTTAGGCTATTCAATAAAACAATAAACAAGACTCCAGGATATTTTAGGCTGGTCTGAAATGTGCAATTTCACAGCAGAATTCATACTGTTGTTTTTGTTGTTGTGATCAGGTTCAGTGTTGCTGCAGCTCATGAAATGTAGTGAGTGTTAAGTGCAAAGTAAAGAAGAGATGCTACTCATTTATATATAATAAAGCATACAGTCTTTTACATAATTTTGTTTTGCGTTATCATTACTAAATACAAAAAAACAAATAAATATAATTTATTTTATATTAGTTGAATCAAATAGTGAAAGAAAAGCAGCCAATAAGTGTCCAGCATACATTTGAGTTCCTTAAGTGCTGTTTACCATACATCCTGTAATGCAAACTGATCTATTTTATAAAACTGACATCTGTAACAATCAGTCACTTGGTGAAAGTGCATATGTTATTTGTTGCAATAATGAATGTGTTCGTAATTCACATAATCTGCGCATGTCTTTGTTTTTTTTTTATTGGTGTTATGAAGTATTCTAATTTGTTGAGATAGTGAATTGGTGGGTTTTTGTTAAATGTGAGCCAAAATCATCACAATTAAAAGAACCAAAGACTTAAACTACTTCAGTCTGTGTGCATTGAATTTATTTAATACACGAGTTTCACGATTTGAGTTGAATTACTGAAATAAATGAACTTTTCCACGACATTCTAATTTATTGAGATGCACCTGTATGTATATATGTGACCCTGGACCACAAAATCTTTTAAGTCGTCTTAAGTCACACGGGTATATTTTTAACAATAGCCACAAAAAAAATTACTTATGTTGCATATGGTTTTTGTTTTGTATCATATTTGATGCATCAAGCTTTTATGCCTCACTATGTCATATTAGTGAGAAAATGAGCTCACACCCAGGAAAGAAAAAACACCTCAGTTTTATTTTTATTTCGGTCCAAACTGGTCAAATTTGCTACAAATATTGTTATTTATGTGGCCAAAATGTAAGATGAAATTTTGATGTCAAGTTTGAATATGCACAATCACAAATAAGATTTTAAGTGTTTCAGTGCTACATGTATTTAAAAAAAAAAAAAGATCTTGTGGAATTAAAGATTTTACAGTTCACATTCTGTTTATTCCGATTGTATTATTATATATGGTCACGATGGTTAATTTAATGATCAGACAGAATGGATTTCTAACTGATTTTCTTATTTTTGGCAGTCAGCGGTGTCTCTAGATGAGATATTTGGTTTTCTTGTACATTTTCGAGCTGATGAGTCTCTATGTCGGGGCACAGCACTTTGGAAAGAGGTAAACTGAAAGTCTATTAACTAAATCAGAATTCATAAGCCTGCTCAATTTGCAAAGTATTTGATCACACAACTAACATTCACTACATGTTAAACTTTGCTCCCATCATAGCTGTGTAATTGGCTCCAGGCTAACGAAGGCTGTTTTCGTCTGACCGACGGCGATTCGGGCTCCTCTGAGGAGATTCACTCTGAAACATCAAACAGCTTCTATATTCAGCTACGTCCAGCAGTGTCTGAAGACCTTTCTCACAGTTCCAGCCAGCTCAGGTGAAATACAGAACAACAGTTTAGCAATACTGGACATGTTTCTACATTAACATCCTTTATGTTTTAATCCTGGAACAACATAACTGTCAAACAACAACCAAAATGACCCCAGTTCGGATATATTTGTTCATTATGCTACATTTCTTCTTGGAATTTTAAGGTCAATATCATCTACCC